GGGGGGGGGGGGGGGGGGGGGGGGGGGGGCTGTACCAGTCCCTTGCTGAGGCTGCCGAGGACGATTTCGGTCTTTTTGAAGGACCGCTCTGCCTCGAGCACCCTCACCCGCACCTTAAGGTCGCCCTCCTCCATGCGCCTGAGTGTGTTCTCGATGTAGTTGACCTTGCGGGGCGTCTGCGCAACCGTGGCCAGGTCTTCCGGCCTGCACAGGGGCATCCATCAGTCGGGTGTGGTGTGGGAGGAGAGGGGGGGAGAGGGGGGGCTGACGGGTAAGCAAGGGTGTGTACTTTACTTACCTGAGTCTGAATTTCTTTTGTATGGATTTGAGGACGCTGATGAACTTGGATCCGTCACGGGACGTGATTAGCTCGTCGATGTACGGCTGCATGTGTGGGGGCATACACACACACACACACATATATATATATATGCCTTAACGGTGTGTGTGTGTGTGTCCTCTTCTTTGTGCCTGCAGGCGTGCATAGTCGTGTGTGTAAAAGACCTGTGAGATTTTGACGAGGTCATAGTCCTCATCGAGGTCCTTTCCAATGCCCTCCAACGTCACAAACGCCCTGAAGAAAAGGAAGCGTTTTGCGCTGTGTGCACCTGTTGTGGGCATGCTCATATGCCCCTCTCCCTCTCTCTCTCTCTCTCTGTGTGTGTGTGTGTGTGATTGTCCCCCTCGTGTGTACCTGAAGACGAAAGTGAAAGTCGACGGGAATCTGAATGGGACGTCGCCCCCGACGGATATCAGGTCGGCCCCCAGCTTCTTGCGATACTCTATCTGCTGCCTCACACGCTCCTAAACGCACAGACAGATCCACACATCACTCACATCCGCCCCTCCCCTCTGCAGGTCTGCCGTGTCCACTCCCTTCCCTTGTCTGTCGCCGGCCGGCCGTCTCAGCTCACCTCTCGGGTCATCTTTCGGAGCGCCTTGGCCTTGCCCACCTGCTGGTCCGAGTACCCCTGCAGGAAGAAGCGCGCGATTTTCTCGATGGACACCCTATCGACGCCCGGCTTGAGGACGCCGATGGCCTCGAGCGAGTCGCAGAGCTTCTTGGGGTCGTTCTCAAACACGCTGAACAAGACGTCCACCAAACCGTCCTAAACACACATACGCCCCCCCCCCCCACACACACACACACACAGAGACAGAGAGAGAGAGAGAGAGG